TGGTTTTCCTGTGTTTGCTCTATTTTGATGGCTTTGTATTAAAATCACAGGTTTAATGGTGACCCCAATCAAGTTACCATATTTGGAGAGTCTGCTGGGGGTGCCAGTGTATCTTTGCTGTTGTTATCAAAGCTTACCAAGGGACTTTTCCACCGTGCTATTCCACAATCTGGAGATGCATCAGCATTTTGGGGTAGTGGTACATACGAGCACCGTACTAAATCAATGAAGTAAGTACAGTTATTGCTTAGTGAAGAAGTGCTTGTGTTCCTTGTGACTGCGTATGCGAGCAAAACTGGGGAAAGAAAGCCATGCACCCAAAACAGGACAGGTTCGAATTCGGCAGCATGTACAACTTGTTACAAATGGGTTCAACTTTATTGGAGGTCTTGGGTTGTCCCAGCGAAGTCGGGAATTAATTCCGAATTTTAATTAGGATCTTTTTCCGGGAATAACCTCCTTTCCAAGCACTATAACGTTCTGCTCTTTCTATATTTTTATATATTGCCACGCGGTGCACATATTCATATCTCAACATTATTAACATTGGGCCGGCTTTCTTTTTCCTTACTCAACTTCAATTCAGTAGTAGAGTACAAACATTAAATGTGTGCAACACTTTCCACTATTTTTTACAAAATAGTGTTAATTAAACAATAGAAAACTAGAATTAGCATAATTTACCAGTATTTAGTGGTATTTATGTTGCACAGTTTTAGTGTTTGTACTCTACTGTCTATATATATATATATATGCATTCCACAGTAAATAATAATAATAATAATCTAAGCTTATAAAGCGCTTATAAAACTTTTTCTAAGCGCAAATAAAAAGGTAAAAATTAAGATATTACGAAAGTTAAAATAGAGTTACAGAAGTTTGTTTAAAAAGGAAGGTTTTGAGAGCAGTTTTAAAAYTGTCAAGTGAAGAAATGTCTCTGATTGAAGATKRMAGTGAATTCCATAGAMAAGGTCSAGCAACACTAAAAGAACGATAACCATAACTTTTAAGATTGTAAGACTTGGAAGACAGTAACAGTTGAGACGACGAACGAAGACAACGAGAAGGACGATAGTTTTTAAGCATATCTTGAACATAAACAGGAGCCAGGCCATGAAGAGCTTTAAAAGTCAGAAGGAGAATTTTAAACTAGATACGTGCGGAGACAGGAAGCCAGTGAAGATTGATAAGCAGAGGTGTAATGTGGTCATGTTTTTTAGAAAGCATGACAAGACGAGCACAGGCATTTTGGACAGCTTGTAGACGATCAATGCCGCACTTCACGAACTGACCAATCACAACTCACCCGTATAATGACATCATAACTAACTAAGCATTTGCCAATATGGCGCTAAACCAATCATGACTAAACATCGACCAGATGAACAACTAAATGATAGGTAACCAACAAGCCTTATAATTGTAAAACTATATCACCTTATGAAAACTACTTGGTCGCGCGCGCTGGATAAAATTCTTAAAATTAACTTTTTTTGTCACATNTTGTTCAAACSCTGTCCCTCAAATCCCGGGGAGGGTCGAGAATCGATCAGCCCTTCATGGCCGGGTATTTTAATAAAACCGTTTCGAAAGCATCTCAATACATGAAGAGACGGTTGATTTAACGTCTAAATCGAAAGAAACGATGTGTTTAGTACCTATTAGAGCGGATATAAAGGCCGGGCTCAATATTGCTGCATGTGTGTCATGTGTGGACGTGGCTGACTGATTTTTGATCAATAGATTTAGATATTTCAAAGTCATGGTCAGAAGAGTTCAGAAAATTTTTCCTATTCTGCTTCAAATTGTTCTCAGGCGAAGTCTATTATAAGGTCATAAAACAGTTGACGATAATTGTTCCCACTGTGTTGTTAAACAAAGGTCGGGGTCGGTGAGACCAGTGCGAGCCTGAAAGTCATCCATTGTATTTTTTTTATCAATCAGACCTCCTGCATGCGACGTAGCAGCTCCAAACAAAGTCATTGTTCCTTGCAATAAATGATTTCATGTCTATAATGACATTAGTGACTGATTCATTAAAATATCTATTAATCACGCAACACTAGCGCTATTCATCTACTCTCCCTCCCCTCCCTCGGTAATGYCATGTGTCGTTTAATATCTCTCTTATAGAGCAAACGCAGAAAAACCATGAAATAAAATCAAACTAAATACTAACAAATAGCGGCTATTTAGAGACAAATTGTCAGTATCAATTAACCAGAACGCAATAAAGATGAATGAAAAATGGTCCCATGATGGATTCATCTTCATTGTGTTCTGGTTCATTGATACTGACCATATAGGTTATATACTGACAAACTGTCTCTAAATAGCCGCTATTAGTTAGTATTTAGTTTGATTTTATTTCATGGTTTTCCTGTGTTTGCTCTATTTTGATGGCTTTGTATTAAAATCACAGGTTTAATGGTGACCCCAATCAAGTTACCATATTTGGAGAGTCTGCTGGGGGTGCCAGTGTATCTTTGCTGTTGTTATCAAAGCTTACCAAGGGACTTTTCCACCGTGCTATTCCACAATCTGGAGATGCATCAGCATTTTGGGGTAGTGGTACATACGAGCACCGTACTAAATCAATGAAGTAAGTACAGTTATTGCTTAGTGAAGAAGTGCTTGTGTTCCTTGTGACTGCGTATGCGAGCAAAACTGGGGAAAGAAAGCCATGCACCCAAAACAGGACAGGTTCGAATTCGGCAGCATGTACAACTTGTTACAAATGGGTTCAACTTTATTGGAGGTCTTGGGTTGTCCCAGCGAAGTCGGGAATTAATTCCGAATTTTAATTAGGATCTTTTTCCGGGAATAACCTCCTTTCCAAGCACTATAACGTTCTGCTCTTTCTATATTTTTATATATTGCCACGCGGTGCACATATTCATATCTCAACATTATTAACATTGGGCCGGCTTTCTTTTTCCTTACTCAACTTCAATTCAGTAGTAGAGTACAAACATTAAATGTGTGCAACACTTTCCACTATTT